TAACAAACCGGCCCCCTTGATAATGGACCAATCACATTCACTTTATTCACTCCTGTAAAGTCGGGCACCACTCAGGAGAATTCGGAAATGTAATGAGGGAACGGCCGCTTCCTTACGACTTTAAGTTTATTCGACAAAATTAAAGCCTTTATGAGGTTTAACTCTTCTCCAATTATTAGGCTGCTTTCTTGAAAAAACATCATCAAAGCCTAAAATGTGTTCATTTCTCTTTCAGGCTCTAAGCTTGGAGAACAGCTTAAACATGGAGGAACAGCAGTATCCTCCTCTGAACCTGGGCGACCCAGAGAGCGGTTACCTGACCGAAGCCAACCTGCTGTCCATCTCTCTGCAGATCGGACAGGACTGGCGTGTGATTGGCATTAACCTCGGGATGAGCTATGAAGAGTTGGACCGCATACAGTACAAACACAGGTGGGAAGGAAAACATCGTTTGTTTATGGAAATCTGTTGCTTTTAGAGGATTTTAAAAGTTAATCAGGCTGTGGTGCATGGCCGCAGGAAGTGGCGGTGCTGCAGCACCCCCTAGTGACGAGAAGGAGAAAATGTATTAAAAATACTTTTCACAATTTAGAAATTGCTCATGAATATTTTGGGAAATGATTTTGACTTTTTTATTTTATTCTTACATGTATTGTGATTTTGATTTAATTATTTTAAGACCCCATCAACACAAGTTCACAGAATTTACGTTGTCATGGCAACACCAAGCAAGCTAGTGGAGCAATCCCGCCGGCAGCAGCACACTAGTAAATCTACGAGGAGGAAATATGGCACAGAAACGCATTTCTGATTGGTCCGCTCATTAGAGACTTTATCTCCATGACCTCAGAGCGCACCTGAACATTTGGACACCTGTAACCATGGCAACCTACCTGTAGCTCACAGTAAGAGCATGGTTTTTTTTACTGACATTTACTGACATGTAAATGTTTACAGCATTGGAAAACCTAATAATTTTAGTTTGACCTCCTCCTCCACACCACATTAAAACAAAACAAAAATCGATTTTCATCATTTTTTGAAAAAGCTCCAGGGAGCGGGGACGCTAAAGAGCCGCGGGTTGCTGACCTCTGACCTCTGACCCATGTCATCAAATCAATACAGTTCAGTCTGTCCAATCAGCTGCCTGTAATGTCTTTAAATGTCCAGCAGGTGTCAGTATTCTGTGAGACGGAATCAATGCAGTTTGGAAATGTGTCTAAACCATTGATCTCTATTTATTTACTGGATTGCTAATAGCCTGAAAAGTGAAGCCACCGTCTGCCATGTTGGTACTCCCCACCCCCATGGAGACGTGCAGTAAAAATGCCCTCCTGTGCAGCATTAGGCTGCAAAAACCAGCAGTTTTCTGGCTGCAGGAAGAAGTTTCACGGGTGATTTCACAGCGTCAATCTGTTCATATATCAGATTCTTGTTGTAACTAAGAGCAAAAAGCAAAATGTGAACATTGTGTCTGTTATTTTACCAATTGATGTGATTCTGCTGGTGTAGAAACTGAAGCTCTGTGGATTTTATTAAATTGGTTCATTAATTTAGCTCTACTGTAAATCTGTCAGATTTAAAGGCTGATTCACAGACAGTATAAAAGTACGGCATCATTCAGGCACAATTTGCAAATAGAAAAATACTATAGCATTAACAGACATGTATTTGTAATTCAGTCTTTATGTAAAATCTTAATGTTATATATAATTACCACAACTACTATCCCTAAAATTTTGAATTAGAAAAGCTTCCTGGATGGGAAGCAAAACGTCTTCAAACCTGGAAACAAAGTCCAGTGGATTGGTTTTAATTTTTTTTTTTATTGCCAATTTAGTATTTTATTTATCAGCCACAGGATTGTTTTGAGGTGATCCTTAAATAACGAGAAAAAAATACAATCATTTTAATCAACATATGCATATTAAGATATGCATTCAGCTTACAGTGTTCAATTCATTGCAAAATTATTCACACGCCTTGAACTTTATGCTTATGTTCAACCTTGATATTAAAAGATTCTGATAGGAAACCAAAATCGTTTGAGTTACAATGAGAAAAAAAAAACAGTATTAATACTTTTAGACACCAGATTTTAAAATAATAAGGAGAAAGAGAAAGAAAATTCCAAATCTTGCCCTGGATTTACTTTGCTTGTAAAGGTGACTGCATCATGTCATCAGTGTGCAAACATGGTGAAGAAAAGCCCTCCGTGGTTGGTATGCGTCTGTAGGAGAAGCAGCAGTAGGATTGTTTTAATCTGCGCTGTCAGCCATCATTCAGCCATCTGGGACGCTGCAAGAGATTAAACTCTGTTTGCTCATCTCAGCCTCCCCCCAAAAAACCCACTCATGCTGCATCCGTAGGAGGAAAAAAATGCATTATGAAAAGTCAGAGAGTCATGTGTTCTTAGCAGGAATATCTGAACATATTTATAGAAAAATAGAAACATCTCTGCATTTTACAATTAAATGTTGAATAAACAGACCTTTCCTTGAAATGTCCATATTGCTGCTCCTTACAGTTTGCATAGTAGAGCTCCAAAAAACCAGCTGATTGCATCGACTCATTGACTCTTCAGCAATCCCTCACACTAAGCATGCTTGTAGCGACAGTGGAGAGGAAAAACTCCCTTTGAACAGGAAGAAACCTCCAGCAGAACCAGGCTCAGTGTGAGCGGCCATCTGCTGAGGCCCACTGGGGTTCAAGGAGACAGAAGCAGACATAGAAAAAGAAGCATAGATACAAAAGGCAACTGTCAACCAGCTCCACAGGCGGCCCCGTCCAGGAAACACTGCAGCAGGAAGACTCCCAGCAGCTGGAAGATTCTAGAACCACCACTGTTCCCAGCAACCTCAACCAGTTCTTCCATTCATGCTAATTCTGCAGTTTCTACCTCAGTCAGTTAAATAACCTGCTGCTGTCATTCTGCACATCTCTGATGTTGCTGCTATTTTCATATTACTGTAAAAATGTCCATAGCTGCATATTGGTTATTTATTCTACAGTTTTATATTGTTAAAACCCTTTGCAGTATTTTATTGTTTATCTTTTAACTCTTCACTATTATGTTAGTCTTATACATTTTTCTAAGGTCCATGTTTGTGTGACTATTTTTTCTAATGTTTTTGTTGCTGTAAACACCAGAATTTCCCCATTGTGGGATAAAAAAGGGAATTTCTATTCTCTTCTATTCTATTTTATTCTCTTTTATTTTATTTTTTGCTCTTCTCTTATCTTCTATTTTTTTCTATTCTATTTAATTTTATTCTGTTCTCTTCTTTTATTGTATTTTATTCTCTTTTGTTCTATTCTGTTCTATTTTATTGTATTCTAGTATATTCTATTCTAGTATATTCTATTTTATTCTAGTATATCCAAGTGTATTCTATTATTTTCTATTCTATTCTTAATGACAGTCTTTTCCAGCATCCTTCTGCAGCTGGCAGCTTTATGAAACAGCATCTGTTGTTTTGTGTTCTTCACCAGAGATAACCTGGGTGCCTTGGTGCTGGACGTGCTGTTTCATTGGGCCCGGGGACAGAGGAACGCGGGCCCCGGGTCGGTGTCCAGGCTTGTGGCGGCCATGATTGAAAGTGGGAGGAAGGATCTGGCGGACGAGATCGAGGACATTGTCAGTCTGGGAAGGAGGAAATATTCGGAGTCACTGAGGAGAGTTGGTTTAGAGGCAGAGAGACTTCAGGAAGCCCAGCTTTAGACCAACCTGCTGGTTAAAACTGAGCCCATCTTCCGCTGCTCTCTGACCAGCTGTCATAATGCTATAAAATTAAACATCTTGTGTTTTTATTTGTTCTTTTACTGCTGGATGTTCAGTCTCAACCCCAATATTGCAGCTCTGGCCATTTTTATTTTTATCCCCAAGGTCATCATGCAGTGATGAATCGTCATGATGACGTAGCCTCCCATCCCCCAGCCCCTGACAGCTTCACAGCGCTTCTACCATCTGGGTGTAATTCCACTGCCTGCCAGCAGAGGGCGTCTGTAGATTCTTCTCTATGGTTCCCAGTCAGCCTCCCCCCCCCTCCCTGCCTGGCTGCTGCCTCCTTTCACTCCCACCTCCTCCTGCTTTCACTCCCACCTCCTCCCACCTCCTCCTCTGGACCCAGATGCTAGTATTTCCTCTGTTAGCTGCTGTCGGTGTCAGACAGAGAAACTGCATCGATTTTAGCCCCAAATCAGCCCGGAGGCGCGAAGCGGCGGAAACGGCTGGTATGTATGGAGGGGGGCGGGGGGGGGCTTCCTGATGCAGAGATGGTTTAATATTTAAACCTAAAGATAAGCGCACGATTGATCTGAAATGGAGCGGTTTCAGGATATTGCTGATCTGCAGGAGCGGCTGGTTGTTGCTGTGAGATGCGTCTCCGATGCGTTTCTGATCCGCCTCTGATCCGCTGAGTAACGGGAAGGAAATCATTTCCCGTCAGGCTGTCTGTCAGAGCAGCGAATTCAAGCTGAAGGGGATTAAATACGTAGATCTGGCAGTTAGACCGGGTTTAACGGCTAGATGGAGAAAGAAAGGGCTGATTGGAGAGAGGCCATTCTAACCGTTAGACACCTCCAGGTCCGTTCAGGTCCGTCTGGAACACGCAGGCGGTGGATTTTGGCTTTTATATAAAATCCCATTCTGAGCTCGCTGGTTGTTAAAATATCATCGTTAAATTCGCACATTAAACGGAACAAACCACATTTAATTCATTTTTAATCAAAATTAAAACGGGAGGGAGACTTTTCACTGAATAAGTTTTTAACACTCATAAAAATGACTCGTTGGATTAACTCAGATTAACTGATGGCAGATTTTCCATTGAGCTAAATCCACAGTTATCTGCAAGCTGTAATTTTATTGAGTCGGTTCAACAAAATTCTTAAAAATGTAATTTTAAAAGGAAATGAATGCACCGGTGACCTGACCAAGATGGACCCCGCCTCTCACCTGTAGACACCAGGACCCCTCATCACCTCAGCTGGCATAATGCCTGATGGAAAATGGATGAATACACCAAATTTTATTATTTTTCAATTGATTCAACTTAATAAAATCTAATTCTGTTGATCTCTATTTGTTCTGGCCAGAGAAAAAACAGGTAATATGTAGCCAACATTTGGAAGAAGAATGTTTTCAAGATGACTTAGATAATGATGAAGCTGCCACCATCATGTTTCATAGTGGAGATGGTTTGTTCTAGATAAGTTTTCCTGCTCATAAATAAGCAGAAGAGTCATTTTCTGTCTGAGCCGACAGAAGCGCACATAGCTGGTGGTAAATGGCAGAGGAAGGTAGCGTACCCAAAACTTTACTTACGTCAAAGTAGCAGTACTTCATCATATATTTAAATGACAAAAAGTGAAAAAGTAGCTTGTAAAAAGGCTTAAGTCCTGAGTAACTGATACCGTGTTCAGAGCAACAGATTTAATGTTTTTTGGGTAATAAAATGAATCAATGCAGTAAGTAAGAATCGCTTAAATATACTGTTTAATTTATTATCAGCTGACCTCCAAATGACGATGCTGACTCAGCAGATGGAAAATAACATTTAACCAACAAGCATTGAGTGCAAAACGAAGAAAGTGGAGCATTTTTACATATCCACTACTGTAAAAATGTCCACAGCTGTATAGGGATGATTTATTCTTGCATAGTATTTATATTTCTAAACCACAGTACAGTACATTAATTGTTTTTAAATTCCGTCACTTATTCTGCTATTTCTATAGATGTTTAAGATCCACATTGTGAGACAATGTGTGATAATAAAGGGAAATAATTATTTAAAACAAGCTTGTTTTCACTAAGTGACGTTAAAATGGGCGGAGCAGCCAGAAATTTTAAGTAAAAGGAAAAAGTAAAATGCTGTAAAAGTACTCCCAAAAGTAATTTTTTTTGTTTTCAAAAAGATACTCAGGTAAATGTTACGTAGTAAATGTAACTAGTTACGGTGAACAGTTCTGGCCTGCACACATCCTACCCCCAGAGGAGAGTTCCCATGGCCGCTCATCAATGGATGCATTCTCACTTATTGCTTTCCTGTTTCTCTTTATTATCAATGCTTAAACATTCCCACTTATTGTTTTTTTTTTTAGGTTTAGCTAAGCTGTTCGGGCGTTGGTAAATGTTGACTGAAATATTTTAAAACCTAGATCCTCACCGTGGAGAAATAGTTTTTGGTAGAAACATCTTCATCACACCTGCTGATTCCTACAGCCTGAAAATTATTTCTGTATCCGTTATGGTTTTTGATTTATTAAACATAGTTCAACATAAACTTTTACACATTTTTCAAATTTTGCCATTTTCCCTCTTTTTTTTCCACAGAATGCTGACGTTTCAAAAACATTTTGAACAAAAAAAAAGTCCTAAAGCTTCGTTCTCCAATCCATCATGAATTAAATCGCTACGACTTATTATGCCAGAGTTAAAGGCATTTGATCGACACATCATACAGGTGATTAAACCAAGAAAGCACTGGGAGACAGTGGCTGAAAAACACATTGCTGCGTAATTTGTTCAATACTGTTGGCTGGATAGTTCTTTCTAAATGGCATTAAAGTCGTAGAGAAATCATATTTAAATATCAAATCATTCTGGCTTAAATATGTATATAAATCTACTCTTTATCAGACCATATTGTCCCAAATCCTGTCTTAAAATCTGTGTTTTTTTTGCGTTATCTTCTGCAGGCCAGTTAGTTCTACGTCAGCCTGAATGTCTTTGTTAATTTTGGAGGTTAAATATAGCCAGAGTTGTTTTCTCTTTTAAAGTCATAGGGAATTCATATTTAAATATCAAATCATTTTGGCTTAAACATGTATAGAAATGTTCTCTTTATCAGACCATATGTCTTAAAATCAGTTTTTTCCGTTATCTTCTGCAGGCCAGTTAGTTCTCCGTCAGCCTGA